AACTATTCGCGCATTTAATGCATTGTCCTCCTCCTCCAACGGGAAGACAACCTCAGCATAAAAGATACACTACGAAGAACAACCGGATAACTTTGCCACAACATTGCGAATACAGAAGCATTCAAACATTCAAACGTACAAGCCTCCTTGAGATTAAATCTTCATCATCTTCTACAAGAGAAGGCAGACGTTGGAAAGATTATCTACTCACATCTTTTCATCTCCAACTCAAGCAAAGTTCCATTTGTTCTTCAACACTTCAATCACTTCAACAAATACATCTTTTGTGACGAAGCAAGTTGGACGAACCCCTGTTTCATCTAGAAACTCTTCTCTAACGAGAAGGACGTCCAAGTAATTGGAGCAGTGAAGTTGTGATACTTCCGGGAAGCTCAGCGAAAGGACTAGTCTTAAAGGAAGCCAGGAAGTGCATCCCAGGAGACATCTACACTTGAAGAAGGCGTGGAGAGCTTCTTAAGTGCTAGGACTAAGGCGTTGTAAACGGACGTTTTTACAAGCTTAGTGGAAGAGTGGATTAGAGGAACGAGTTGTTCCTTGAACGACTATAAAAATCCCTTGTGTCATTTACTTACTGCATTTATTTATCGCATTTAGTTAGAACTGATCAACTCCAAAGACTTTATCTTTGTGTTCAGCAAAAAGTGTCTTGTGAGTTAACATACTGCCTACTGCCTTTGCTTCTCTGAGGCTAATCGAATAGAACCCCTACCAGAACCCCATCCGCTGCCAGTCTATTCTGTCAACAGAACAGGCTATTCTGTTAAATCTGGTACTTAGCTTGAAAAGTTAAAAACTAGTACAGTCTATTCACCCCCCCCCCCCTCTAGACTGTACCCAGTATAACCGGGACCAACACACATTGCAGACTCAAGCACTTACCTCGGGATGGTTATTATTCAAAAGTGCTTCAATCACGAAGTGACTTACTCATCGTCATTGAACTCAAGATCTAGCGTTGTACTAGACATTGAGTTGGGCTTTCTTTCACTTGTGATTATTTTCTAAGGGCTTTAACCCCATCCCTTTTGCCATTTTGTACACCATATCCCTTGGCATCGCTTTTGTAAAAGGATTAGCCAAATTCACATGTGTCCGTACAAAATCAATCACAACAACTCCAGAACTAATAAGTTCCCGCATATAGTTGTGTCTCACTCCTATGTGCCTTGACTTACCATTGTACACATGGTTATAAGCTTTTGATATAGTTGATGCACTATCACAATGGATTGATATCGGAGTCATAGGTTTAGGCCATATTGGGACTTCTGACACTAAATCCTTTAGCCATTCCGCTTCTTTACAAGCTGATGCTAAAGCTATAAACTCTGAAGCCATGGTAGAGTCCGTGATACAAGTTTGTTTCTTAGATGCCCATGATATTAGCACCTTCTAATATAGAGGGTTCACTCTTGTAACATAAGCCGAAGCTCATTGTTTTCTTTAGATATTTCAGCACTCGCTTCGAGGCTTGCCAATGAAATATACTGGGGCTACTAGTATATCTACTTAGCTTGCCTACCACAAATGCTATATCTAGTCGGGTGCTAGTCATTGCATGCATCAGACACCCAATTACCCTAGCATATTCCAGCTGTGATACAGCATTCCCACTATTGGGAACTAATTTCCAGTTAGGATCCATAGGAGTGGAGACCGGTGAACAATCCAAACTCCCAAATCTTTTCAACACTTTCTCTATATAGTGAGATTGTGTTAAGGTGATAGTATCACCTTACTTTATTATCCTAATTCCAAGGATAACTTCCGCTTCACCCATATCTTTCATGGAGAAGTTTGAACAGGGGAAAGCTTTTGTCTCTTTTACTTGCCTCAAATCAGTGCCAAATATGAGCATGTCATCCACATATAGACAAATAATGACACCATTACCATTCCCATTAAATTTGCTATATACGCACTTGTCTGATTGGATTATTTTAAAACCATTTTTCAGCACCAGCTCATCAAACCTTTGATGCCATTGTTTAGGTGCTTGTTTCAGACCATACAAGGACTTGACAAGTTTACAAATTTTCGTTTCTTGTCCTTTAACAACAAACCCTTCGGGTTGTTTCATATACACCTCCTCCTCCAATTCATCATTTAAGAATGCAGTTTTGACATCCATTTGGTGAATCACAAGATTGTGAATGGCTGATAAAGCAATTAACAATCTTATGGCTACCGGTGCATATGTATCAAAGTAATCAAAACCATGCTTTTGTTTAAAGCCTTGTGCAACCAATCTAGCTTTAAACTTGTCAATGGTACCGTCTACTTTCATTTTCTTCTTGAAAATCCATTTACAATCGATTGGTGTGCAACCGGGTAGTAAATCACTTAGAACCCAAGTATTATTGCCCATGATTGAATCCATTTCATCATTCACGGCCTCTTTCCAGAAGGAAGCATCTCGTGATTTCATTGCCTCTTCAAAAGAGTTAGGATCCTCCTCAACACTATAACAATATAGTGTTTGAGTTACAAGGGTCTCTCTTGATCCTTCAACCAAATACAATTGGAAATCGGGACCAAATGATTTTTCTTTTCTAGCCCTCTTACTCCGTCTAATTTCAGGCTCATCTTCATGATCCTTTTCCAGATCATGAAAATTTGAATTACTTGAGTTGAGATCAACATCCTTTGGCTTAGGAATATAAGATAACCGCTTCTCATCGAAAAGAGCATTCCTAGACTCAATAACAGTATGAACCACAATTGAGTCATTCGGTTCAATGACATAGAATCGATATGATTTACTATGTTCAGCATATCCAATAAATATGCACCCTACCCCCTTTTCACCTAACGTTTTCCGTTTAGGTTCCGGAAATCTCATGATGCCCTACAACCCCATACCCTAAGATAACTTAGTTGGGGTGTTCTTTTGTGCCAAAGTTCATATGGGGTTATTTTATTTCTCTTGTTAGGAACTCGATTAAGAATATAACAAGCAGTTAACATAGCATCACCCCAAAATCCATTACTTAAGCCTGAATTAGACAACATGGAATTAACCATTTCTTTTAAAGTTCTATTCTTCCTTTCAGCTATGCCGTTTTGTTGCGGAGTGTAAGGGGTTGTTGTTTCATGGATTATTCCAACGGATTCAAAAATTTAAGGCTCATAATATTCTCCTCCTTTGTCAGTTCTAAGCCTTTTTACTTTCTTTCCGGTTTGTAACTCAACTTCCGTTTTAAAAACTTTGAATTTATCCATTGCCTCATCTTTTGAAAATAAAAGATATGTATAACAATATCTTGTGCAATCATCAATAAATGTGACTACATATTTTTTATTTCCAAAAGAATGAGTGCTATGGAAATCACACAAATCACTATGCACTAATTCCAACTCTACTTGCCCAATTCCTTGAATTTACACAGTAGAGTCATTTCCCATGTATAAGATTGGTCCCTCTTGCAACTCTTTTAAAGTCTTAAAAGCTTGCCTATCTTTACATACATCCTTTGTGGCTCCGGTGTCGATCCACCAAGATTGATCATCCTGCACAACACAAATTTCAGAAAGCATAGCTACAAAAATCATGTTGTTATCAACATCATTTGTAACTACAAAAAGATTCTGACCTTGGTTGGCTTGGCCACCATTTGGATGGTCGTTCGATTGGGCCTTCTTCTTCATCATCTTCGGGCAGTCCCTCTTGAAATGTGGACCACCACATTCCCAACAAGAGCCTACTTTCTTATCTTTCGGCCTCTTTTGAAACTTGGAACCTTTGGTGAATTTCCCGGGACGTTTTTTATTTTTCTTAGTCCCACTTGACTGTCCCTCCTCCATAACATTTATAGAGGAAATTGGAAGGTCTTCTTTTTACCATTTTCACCTTCACGCAACTTAATGCCTTCTTCAATTTGAAGTCGGCGACCAAGTTGCTCCATTGACAAATCCTCCTTTTTGCGTTTGAGGCTATCTTTCACTTCCTTCCATGAAGGTTGTAATTTTTCGATAATAGAACCGACCGCAAAGGTTTCATTAACATGCATGTTATGAATCAAAAGTTGATCATATAAACGTTGAATCTCATGAAATTGCTTCATGACCGGACGGGAATCCACCATTTTGTAACTATTAAAGTTACTAATGAGAAATTTCTTGCTTGAAGCATCCTCGGTCATATATTTGAATTCTAGAGATTCCCACAACGTTTTGATACACATCAAAAAGAGAATCACACATACCATTCAAAATGTGTCCACGGCAGATATAGTCATCATTGTCCCACTTTATGCGATGGCGGCTTGTTTCCAAAGACTCGTTTTCTTCTTCCTCGGGCGGCCTCGGAGTGCTTAACACGTAGACCACTTTCAAAGTGGTGAGCAAAAAATGCATCTTTTTCTGCCACCTTCGAAACTTCACACCTTCAAATTTTTCTAATTTTTGAAAATTGGTGTTGATATCGCGTTGAGTAGCGGCCATATTTTCGGATTAGTAATCTTTTAGATTGTTAGAACCGGCGGATAAAAATAGTAAAATATAGGGAGAACTTTCAAATAAGCCCTCGAACTTTAATAAAAGTGCAAATAAGCCCTTTTATAGAAGACTCTGTCCGGCCGTCGCCATTTAGGGCGGTTTCCGGTGGAATTATTTGATGAAATTTTTTGAGCATCTTCCTCATTAAGTCTAGTTTACTCATACCAAATTTCAGCTAAATATTCAATCGGGAAGGCAGTCAAATGAATTTTTTAAGATAACTGTGCAGTTAGGCAGCACAGTATATTTCGGAAAATCATTTGACGGCCTTCTCGATTGAATTTTTAGCTGAACTTTGGTATGAATAAACTAGACTTAATGAAGAAGATGCTAAAAAAAATTCATCAAAAAATGCCACCGGAAAACGCCCTAAATAGCGACAGCCAGACAAAGCCTCGTGTAAAAGGGTTTATTTGCACTTTTCATGAAAGTTGGAGGGCTTATTTGATAGTTCTCCCTAAAATATAAGGGTGTGAAATATGGCAGGACCGGATATCACTTCTAGTCACCTATTAAATACGTTTTCCTAAAAGTTTACTATCTATCCTTATCACAATAACCGGGTTACAAGATAGAACTTTTGGGATAAAAAAAAGTGTATGGTGTATTTTAGTTACCGATAAAATAACACCGAACAAATGATTTGTATATAAAGTGATCTAAATATTGAACACTATTACAGTAGATAATAGGATAAATATAGCAAGAGAAATTATTATGAAGTATATATTTTTACTTTCACACGTTCAACATGTATTTATAGACAACAATATACAAGTTGTCTCATATCATCATTTTCATACGAAGCATTGCAATTTTTAGAAAAGTCATGATGGTTGTACAATTGGCGGCATTATCCTTCACCAATTTTGAAATCAAAATTAATTTTGATTATCAATTGACCATGCACGTAGCTACTCCAAAATGACGTGTTTTTTGCCAAAATGGAACATAAAATGAAACACGTACATGCATTACCATCAACTCATGATATATTATTTTAAGTATTATTATTATTATTATTATTATTAAGACATCAATAATTACTTAGCCAACATAGTAAGTAATTTACATGTCTAATAATCTAATAATTATACTTCAATTCAGTATCCTTATAATATTATTATAATTAAAACCCACAGTAACTAATTAAAATAATACTATTAAGGATCATGTTGAACACTTGAGTCATATTTCTCAATAAATTTCCAACAGTGACTACGGCAACTGGGACGACTGGATGGATATGAGAGTACCCCTTTAGAAATCTTGTATTAGAATTTTCTGTGTAAGTAATAACATAGTCGACTGACCAGAAACCCTCTTAGAGTTGCTACCAGAGCTGCTCATCAGAGATGCTACCAGAGCTCCGCAAACTGGCTCAGGATCATTGCGGGAGGCACCATTCCCAGCGGTTGCCGCATCACTCTCAGGAGGGACCTTGTCTCCTTCATTAGACAAGCGGACCTGCATTTGTCGCAAAGTCTCACCGCTACCCCCCCTCTTCTTCATCTTCGCTCTCCATAATTACCACATCCGGCCGAGAGGACGGGACAGTGGTGGCAGGCTCAACGTTGGGCTTGGGGACGACCCCCACAATGTCCACGTCCATCTCCGCGGCATCAACTTCTTCCACCGCGGCCTTTTCTCCGCCAACGACGGTGTCCTCGGGCACTGTGGTTGCGACCTCCTGATCAGCACCACTCGGGGAAACAGCGCCCCCTTGAGGTGTGTCATCGACAGCATCTTCGTCATGATCCTCAGAGGAGGATGAGGACCCGCTGGAGGAGGGCTCAGGATGTTTTACACCTCCGGAAGGCCCGTTTTTCATTCAGAGACCCCCCCCCCCCCCCCCCGAGCCCGATCAAGGAGCTCAAAAATATTGAAACTACCTTAAAAAGACAACAAGATTTTCAACGTCAGACAACAAACAACCAGAGCATATCCACAGCACATCAAATCAGCAGAATAAGAAGTAGACAGAAAGAATCTATACCTGGAGCGGTAGAAGGAGCCTCGGGTTGACCGATTGTTTTCTGCGAAGGAAAAGTCTCCTCCTCTCGCCCGTCCTCCTTGGAGGGAAGAACCTCCTTCTTCTCCTCCTCCCCCTCAGAAGAGCCATCAATCAGGGGAGCAGAGGAGGATGGGGCTACACCCGCCCCCTCCCCATCATTCACAACGGGGGCAGCCACGACACCTTCCCCCTCAACACCAAGGACCTTAGGGGGAGAAAAGCTGATGCATTTCAGGTTCTCCCTGGTCCTCTTCTCGGTCACAAATTTCCTAATGTCGTACGGACCAGGCTTCAGATACTTCTCCACATCATCAGCATACTCGCCCAAATCACCAGCATTATGTTTTCGAGCAAAAACAGGATCTTGGGTCAACCTCACCGTCTCTGTGGAAAATGGTGAGACCATTTATCGATCTGTGCAGACGAAGAAAAATCTGTTCTTTCATCCGCGGTAAGCGGTGGGGGCATTGACAAACCCACTTTGCCCCCCAACTTTAGCGATAGATGCGTAACTCTCGTTCTCCTTCGAGGGGTTATGGCGATGTTGAACAAGTAACGGAACAGGTCAACACTGGGGGTGACTCCCAAATGATAGCAACGTAGCAGGAAGGCGGCATATAGTAGAAACCATTAGGGGTAAGCTGACAGGGTAGCAAGCCGACCCAGTTGAGATACTCATCATTGAAGGGCCTCAAGGGAAAGCGGAGGCCATGTTTCACGGCGTTGTAGTAAACGACAAAAAATCCAGATGGACAAGAAGAGGGCAAATCCCCAGCATCCGGCCTCATAGCAACCACACTAGGACCAGACAAACGCCTCGCCTCCTCCCATTCCCTGTCTAAAAGTGCACAAGGAACCTCTGAGAGGCTGAAGCCGCCCAGGATGAAGTACTCCTGAGTGTCCCTGTATCGCTTCTTGCCAGCACCCTTGTGCCCTTGCAACACATTCAATGATGCGACCTTAAGGACGAAGGACACATCTTCGATGTCCTCATTTAGCTCGGCATCCCTCATGGCGGCCGCATCATCGTACCCCAGCGGGAGGTCACGGTCAACCATGTCTCCGGTATTGTCAGAATCGGTGTGAGAAACCATTGTGATTGAAAACTGCAAAAACAAACACAGTCATGCAAAAGTTAGAATCTAGGGTTAAGGAATGAAAATTTGACCCCCAAACAAAAATGAAACACTTGAATCGACATCTACATACGATTCTGAGTCCAGGTGTACCGGCTTCGGCCGCAGTGGGGGACTGTAAACCCCACAGTGCCCAAAACACCAGTTCGAAGGAAAACCCCTTGTTCTAGATTCTTTCGACAAACAAGCAACAGTGAAAATATGAGTGATGATCCTGATGACCAACCTGGTAGGGAGGTAAGTCGACAGTGAAAGCAAACACAACGGCCTAGCTAGAGGTGACAAAAGCTCTGAACTGCTACGAAACTCTGGAAATTCGAATGCAAAGAAAGCGCAAAGGAGAAAGAAGAAAACTTTCGCCTTTTATACTCCTTCCCAAATTAAACGGGAAGCTGACACGTGGTTGGCTGGAAACCAACCGCGCGAAAAGTTGAAAGGGTTTTTACAAAAGGCGTGCAAAAGGCGCAATGATGGCGCCTTATAGTCCCTTCAAAGCCTTGTCTTGCATTTAATGCGGAAAAATGACTAATAAATAAAAATGTTACAAAAGGAATGTGTAAAGATTCCTATTTGTACACATCAGCGTTACTACACGCCACAAAAATCTCCTAAGTCCACAAAGTATTAAACACAACTACCTAGTCTCCCTCAAGCTCATACTCTTCTACACTTAGAAATTTATCTAAGTTCACAAGAGTGGGGGACTGGTAAGTGGGGGACTCGGGCAAAATCAGAAAACAATAGGTCATCATTTCTGCGAGCTCAGAACAAACGCAACGATCTCAGAGGCGACACAACATGTATACCTCAAAACCAAGCTCATCACACACACGAACTCATTCTAAATTGCAAAATTTTCATTCTGTCAACCCACGGTCGGGGCCGTGGATGTAGCAACTAACATATGAAGCAGGTAATGAAAGCAATACCATGGAGATCCAAAGCTCGAGCTCAGACCTAATTGTAGCGGGCGTCGCCTTTATCTCTAGAAGCCATGGCAGGGTGGAGTGTAGTCTTTTTGCTCCATTATGTTTTTTTCCCACAGGGTTTTTTCCTCAGTGGAGTTTTTAATGAGGCACCCCTTTGTCATGACCATGGAGAGAAGTGCCCCCGCCAGGCGCGCAAGCCCTGAAGATTGGAGATTTTACTCTCTCTCACCTCAAGTGTCACTTTCACTTCGGAGAGTGGGGGACTCATGATGGAGTATATTCCCATATTCTCCAAGGGGTATCACAATCACCGACAATACATCGTGGATCCATACCGAAATACTCAAAGTATCAAGCTCCCAATGAATACCGACCCCGATCCCGAATCACGGGGGTCGGGACCAAGCCTAAAACGATGAATTGACAAAAGACAGAAGACCGACCGAGGCCGACCTCGACCCATCGAGGTCGGCAGAAACACCAAGCTCGGGAATCACCTAGACATGGCAAGATATGAGGTCGACCTCTAACATACTGAGCTCGTCACCAAGTCTGACTTCAAATATAGATGCAAGGTCAACCAAAGTCAACGAAAGAAATGACATTACGATACAAGACCGAAGTTATATCCCCCAGTGGATGAGCATGAGCATCCGAGCTCTGACCTCAGGGAGCTCGGGGTCTCACCGATCGTCGTGGACTTAGGCGAAATACAGAAATAGATACCACACAAGGCTACAGTCACATCATCACTACCTCCAAGAAGCGCCACATCATTCCCAGCAGTTAAGAAAAAGAATATTCTGGATAATACATGTGTAGCCCGCACGTGTATTCCGGTAATAGTTTGTTAAAAGCAGTTCCAATCAGCCAGTTGTTCCAATCATCTCTCCAATCACCTTTACACGTGGCAACACCCCATTATATCAGTCTGTTTAGTTTGTTAGATGGCTGGTACATGTGTCCTCTCCTCACTAGATTAGCATCTTTTTACTTGGGCACCAAGTATTTCCCTTTTTGTATAAGTATCACCTTCCGACTTGTGGGAGGGATCCGAAATTTGACTCTCTAACTGTTACTTTACTGAAATATTGACTCAAGCTTTTCCGATCAACTTCTCTACTCTCTTACTCGGATTTCGGCTACCCCCCAAGTCGTCAATCCATGACATGGCTATTCGCATGACCCCCCCCCCCCCCCCCCCCCCCCCCCCGGCTTGAAGAACACAAAGAATAGCTCAAGGGAGGGTTTCACATTATCTTGATTACATCGAATGAGAAAACTCGATGATGTAAGAATGGTTATTTCGGTTCAGCTGGCAAGGGACTGCACGTGCACGAAAAAACAGCATCCGGGAGGAGTAAATGTGTCCCTCGGTCGTGGCTCAATGACCCTAGATAACGGCCCCGTGTAGATTTGCATGGTGTGCTAGTGTGGAAGTCAAGTGTGGAAGTCAAGATCACACGCCACAGAAGGAATCTTCACAAGGATAGTCGTGCCTAGAAAGGAGTGTCCCTCGTGTATCCCTACAGGTATCCCCCGATTCTTTTTTGAGATGCCACGCGCCTATTTTTCGCAAACAAATTTCTGAAGTTTCGCACAAGGATTTGCCCGCAGGGCTTGGTGTGCTCGACATCTCTCAAGGAAGGAACTTCCTGCACTCGAGACTGTACAAAACTGCTTTGCCCTCGACATTTTCCTCCTCTTCAAGCTCTTTTATGAATTCCTCGACATCCTCTTCAGTGTCCCTGGCCTTCAATTCGGGAGCCTTGTCTTCCATCCACCCATCGGACACGTCCTGATCCGACGGGGGGGGGGGGGGGGGGGGGGGGGGGGGGTCCTCGAGATGTCATCATAATCAGCCTCAGATGACATTTTTAGAGGTTAATAGTTGGATTATAAGGAGAACCTAAAGATTTGGTTGGCCCAACACTAAATCAAAGTTACGTAAGTCAAAGTATGAGAAAAGAACAAAGAACGAGCAAAGAACTCACCTTAGAAAACTTGATTAGATCCTCAATTGACTTATCTCTCTAGAAATGGGAAGAGCTTTGCATCAAGAACAAGAAAACGTAAGGGTGAATTAAGGTCAATTAGGGGTATTTATAAACAACCCAACCATGGTCACCTCGGGATTACCTCCTTCGATCAGCAAAAGGCATCATTACACGCCATTGACCAGTCCAATCCCAATACCCCCTCCGAACCTCTCACAATATCACACCTTTCCTAAACAATCAACAACACCCTTGGACGTTGCCCCTGGCTACTCTAGATACTAGAAAACGGTAAACGGAGCTCTTTCTGACATTCTTGAAGTCCCGTAAGTAGATCACTCAACTACCTTTGACTCCAAAAAAAAACAGTTCCCTCACTTCCCTCGTCCTCGCCCAAAGAATAGCCAAAGTGCACACCAGATTGCTATGGACGGCCTCGACATGCAAGCTCCCCTCAGAATAATATAAATAGTACCCCATTGTGCAGATGTAAAGATTCGAACTTTCATTAATGCAATTCATATCTCTCTCTAAGTTGTTGATTTTGCCTTCTCTTTATATACCATTAGCAATACTCTGATGTAACTATCGTAAAGAGAAGTGAAAATGAATCTGAAGCATTATCTTTGAGAGTTGTGAATTGTGTGAAACATACATAAATGAGCACCATCATGACTAAAAACTCGATAGCATTTTTGTAAATAAATTAATCTTTTTCTAACAATCGAAAAATGTTTTATCTTAACCATAAATGTGAAACAACATGAACCATAATCTGCACCATTTCAAATCATTCCGATTTCCCACGAGAAGAAGCGTTCTTACCGGAACCTGACCTTGTGGGTGCAGTTCAAATGAGAACACCATTTATCGTGAGAAGGTGAAAACAATTACTTTTACTACAATGTGATGCACAATGAAACACATCTATTACAATTTTATAACTTTGATCGAATTAAGCCAATATCAAATAAACATGGTGGCATTTTGATAAATATTGTGCCAACGTTAAAAAGTGCAACATATGAATTTTATTGTATCACATTGGGGTAAAAGTATTTATTCTCACGTTTCACAATAAATATTGTTGTTAAATATTATGCTAACGTTAAAAAGTGCAACATATGAGTTTTATTGTATCACATTGCGGTAAAAGTATTTGTTTTCACGATAAATATTGTTCTTATTTGATTCAGAATCTATATATGTGTGTGTTTTATAAGGCTCACTTTGGAAGCTCCATTATCGAGCTTTTCATTGCCATTGAAAACACTATTGTATATTTCAGCATTGTCATCGGGAGAAGCTAACTCATCCATAGCAGTTGACTACTGTAGTGCAAGACATTGTATCTGGAAGGCCTTCTCGGGATTTTTTCCATCAATTTGGGAGTGGTGGGGGAAATCATAGGGCAACTGTTCAGCGGAGAACCAAACTTCACTAAGAACTCTCACTACTTCTCCATGGACGACAGCGTTGCCTTCGGGTGTGAGGTGCAAGCCATCACTGCAAATCAGCAAGTAGAACGGTGAATAGGGATTAAATTAGAAGGAAATGAAAATATCGGAAAAATAAAGCACATGTTGAAACTATGGATGGACTCGGGCCGGGTGGCCCGACCCGGAACCGGCCCGGGACCGGCACTGTTCTGGCCCGGCCTGACCCGGTGGCCCGGTCAGTGACCGGTCCGGGTAGGCCTGGCCCGTGGGTTTTCCGGTCCGGGCTCGGGTCACCCAAAACAAGGCCCGACCCGGCCGAGCCAAAAAAAAATAATTTTTTTTGTTTTTTCAATTTTTTTTAACTTTTCGGGTTGGGCTGCGTATTTTGGGCCATTTGGGGTGGTTTGGGGGTAGGGGGTGGGAGGGGGCTTAATTAGGAAGAGGAAAACCAAAAAAAATATATATAATGGGCCCGGCCCGGCCCGACCCGGCCCGGACCCGGACCGGACCCGGTGGTTACCCGGGCCGGTCCCGGGTCCACCATTTCTGACCCGCCGGCCCGCCCGGGCCTAGGCCCGACCCGGACCCGGCCCGGACCCGAGTCCAACCCTAGTTGAAACTTTATTTTTGTTGTGTCAAATAAACACCTATGAAATCTAAATATATTTAAATAAGTAAAAAAATCTAAATATTTTTTAGGGAAAAGTGTCAAATAAGCCCCCTACTATTACGAAAATGTCAATTAAGTGAATTAACCCACCAACTCAAATATAACCCAATTAAATACTCCAACTGTAAAAAACAAATCAAGTTTTAATAGGTAAACACACAGTTATCCGGTAAACATGTACACGTGACGACACGTGGTGACACGTGGCATTTTTTCTCCCTTCCTTTTTTCTCTGTGTCTTCCTCCCTTGTCTTCTCTTCCCCTGCGGTCGTTAGCTTTCTCCCTGCACATTTTAACTTTCTTTCTCAGCCGTTCCATTAGTAAACATGTACAGTTTTCAATTTTATTTTTTTCTTTTCCATTAGTTTCCATCGTAATATACTTCTGAAGCTAACTTCGTCGTTCATGAGGCTGCAACAAGGTCTCTGCCCAGGTTCCGGCGATCCTCGTCGCCATCGACTTTGTAACGCCTCAGAGCACTGCCCCCTGTCGCAGTACAAGGCTATAATGGTCGTCATCGTCTGGGTCAACGAACGATCCATTGAAACGTGACAGAAGCGGCAATGGATATCTCGATGCATCTTTGCGGTACTGATCTGGGTCTAGATCTGTGAGGACTCGGCTGCTTGGATTCAGAGGGACACGTTGACCTGATGTGTGCGATGAAGAAATCAGCAAAGGAAGAGAAAGAAAGAAGGGACGGGACAGAGAGAAAAAAAGGGGGGAAAGTACAGAGTTGGGAAAAAGGCACAGGAAGAAGGGAGCAGCAAGAAGAAAGAAAGAGAAGAAAGAGAAAAAAAAAGAAAAAGAAAAAGAAAAATATGCCAAGTCAGACGCCACAAACGCATTTTAACCGGATACCAGGAAGATACCTGTAAAAAGACAATTTGATTGACTTTTCATCATTCATGGGTTTAATTGAGTGATATTTGAGTTGGTGGGGTTAATTGACATTTTTGTAATAATAGGGGTACTTATTTGACACTTTTCCCTATTTTTTAACTTACGGTTTCCAAGGTCGAATCAAACATGTAAATTTTCTTAGCATTTGTGCTCCTTTCCCACGCATTTCTCAGTACCCAAACGCACCCTTAATAGAATCAATAAAGAAGTCCGTGCATACTTGATTAAACCTCGCATAGCAACTTATTTATTCATCATTAATAATATTCTCTTCTACTTGAGCCCCGCCTAAAGATTGAAACTGATTAGACCGGAATAGAATAGACATGACAAGTTGTAAAATACACATAGAACAGATATCTACGAGACTAGATCAGTTTAGACCAAAGGAGACAAAACCAGAAAATTACAATCCAATTAAAACATCTTATTTACATTTAAATCCCCTAATCTCAACTGATGTGTCTAGGTGTAATATTGTCATGGCGGTAAGGCGAGTCACGGTGTCAACCAACCGCCATAGCGCCTAGGCGACAATTAGGTCACTGGTCGCACATTGCATTATGGGAAAATCACAGTTTTGGTCCCCTAATTAGCCCACCATATTGAAATCCCAGACTAATGTTTCTGCATTTTTAAATGTCACCCCCGATTTGACAGAATTGTAATAAACGTCGCTTCTGCCATTAAAAATCTTACAAACTCTGCGAGGCTTTCTAATTTTTCAGAGGTAAACATGTAAATTCGCATCCTTATACGTTTAAATCCCTAAATCGATATATCGTCAACCCTTTATCACGCTTATCAGTCCAAAGTCAAATGCTTTGCTTAATCCTTTGCTCTGAACTCTTCTCTGCCAACTTTCCGTTGGACATGGAATTCGAATATTGAAGCTATATTGAAGCGAAGATTTCCGTTTGAAGGTCAAAGTTTTGACGGAGGAAAGATGATGACATTTATGGATTGTCTAGTATCCGAAGTTCACATGCACACATTTACATATAGGAATTTGGTGTTGAGTGTTGGGGTTATTGCTTAGAATAATGATAATGGCGGCACCTCTTGAAAAATCCAAACGGGTGAAGAACAGACTAAGGGAAGAGAGCTTCCCAAGCAAATGGCACGTGCCTCGCTTGGATCATACAAAGAAAATCTGGTTTATACTCGATTTAGGGATTTAAACGTATATGGATGCGAAGTTACATGACGCCTGAAAAAATGAAAGGCACAAGGAGTTTGTAAGATTTTTAACGGCAGAAGCGACATTTAAAACAATTCCATCAAATCGGGGGTGACATTTAAAAACGCATAAACACGGATATGAGGCAAATAAGCCCACGTACATTTAAAAAGGGGCAAATAAGCCACGTACTAACAAAAAAAGGTCAAATAAGCCCTTATATAGGAGACTATGTTCGGTCGTCGTCATTTGGGGCGGTTCCCGGTGGAACTTTTGGATGCAACTTTTTGAGCATATTATTCATTAAGTCTAGTTTACTCATACCAAATTTCAGCTAAAACTTCAATCGGGAAGGCATTCAAATGAATTCTTGAAGATAACTGCGCAGCTAAAGCGCAGTTATCTTCAAAAATTGGTTTGAATGTCTTCTCAATTGAATTGTTAGCTGAAATTTGGTATGAGTAAACTAGACTTAATGAATAAGATTCTCAAAAAAGTTCATCAAAAAATTCCACCGGGAACTGCCCCAAATGGCGACGGCCAGACTGAGCCTCCTACATAAGGGCTTATTTGACCTTTTTTGGTTAGTACGTGGGCTTATTTGCCCCTTTTACCATTTAAAAATAAAGTAAGTTATAATGAATCAGAAAATATATATATAAGATAAAAATAACATAAGAATATAAAACAAGAAAGATAAAAGAGCATATGAAAGTTAAATGAGAATATCATCGAAAAATACCAGGAAAAACTTTCGTAAATAAGGACCAAGAATGTCATTCATCAAACTCTGGAATGTGGATGGTGCATTAGAGAGGCCAAACAGCATCACTAGAAATTTAAAGTGTCCATGGGGTGTCCGAAAAGCATTTTTCTATCTTTGAGTGCCATATGTATCTAGTGGTAGCCTAAACGAAGATCCAACTTGGTAAAATAAGACGCTCCATGAAGTTCATCTAGTAATTCATCGATCACCGGAATGGAGAACTTATCCTTGACTGTCTTGGAATTAAGTTCCCTATAATCCACACAAAATCGCCATGAGTCATCGAATTTAAGGACCAAAAGCACGGGTGAGGAGAACAGGGATTGACTTGGCTGGATGATGCCTTGAGTGAGCATCTCCGCACATTGATGCTCTATTTCATCTTTTTGCAGGTACGGGTAGCGGTAAGGACTAACAACCATTGGTCCTGCTCCAGGCATTAAGCGTATGCGGTGGTCGCATGTCCTCTTAGGCAGTAACCCCACTGGTGTCCTAAAGAGGTCCTCAAATTGGACAAGAAGGTCAACTAGAGAAGGAGGTGTATGGGTTAAGCCTACTGCCATAGTTGGAGTGAGCGGAGGGGAAATATCATGCACATGCCATTCAACGGAGGTGCCTTCCCTTGTAAAGCGCACCGACAAACGTGTAAAATCTTACAGAGTTGAACTGAGTCCACATAACTAGTGAGCTCCTAAAATCATGTAATATTCGGCCACTCGTAAGATGTAAAAATCTGTAGTGAAGGGCTTACCTTGGACTTCAAACTCCAAGCGAGAACAAGTACTGATAATCGAGACTGTCACCATTAGCCACAATGACATGCAACCGGTTATTACGCAGGGGCTGATTTATTCGATTGGTCGCCAAACGCTCATTCACAAAATTGTGAGTGCTACCCGAATCTGCATAGTTGAGCACAAGCCGAATCTAATCATTGCATGTAGTGAAAATGTTGGTTAGGTCGCGGTCTGTGACATGTGATCCTGCTCGAGTTGGTCATCCTCCAAAATTTCCACAAAGAACAGACTCTTACAGCGATGACCTCGAACCCACTGGTCATCACAATTATAGCACAAGCCTTATTCACGTCGTATTGCTGCCTCAGCGCAGGATTTTTTTTAAAGTTGGATAAGAACTACAGCGAGATAAACCGGAATCAATAAGTGTCGTTGCTGAAGCAATCGACCGAGAGGATGGTTGGGGCCGTATGATAGATTCAGTCGAGGCAATCGGGGTTTGGTACTTCCGCTCAATGGTTCAAGCCAACATCATGGCAGTGTCAAGATCGAGGGGGTCCTAGTACTCTACTTCCATGTGCACCAAGTCACGTAACCCGACAGTGAAAGGTTTTACTTGCATGCAGACTGAGATGCCAACTGTGTGTGCTAACAATTGCTGAAACGTTTCCATATAGGTCTCCAAATCAGATGTCTGCCTCAATTTGGCTAGGTCACCTTCTGCGTTGGCACTGCATGGAGGTCTGAAACGTTTCGAACACTTCATGTAAAAGCCAATCCAATTGACTCATGTACCCGCAGAGTCCAACTGGTCAGCCCATTGTTGGGCGGGTACCAGCCATGTGAAAAGTAACTAACCCCACTCGGTCCTGGGGAGGGGTTCTTTGTTGAATAAAAAACCACTTGTAACGTTTAAGCCATGACAAGGGTTCAGTTTTTCCATCATATTGGGGAAACTCCAATTTAGAAAAATGTGGAACCATAGAATCCTCAATGTGGCACTGGTGCTGCTCGATATCCCTTCGTCATCCCTGTCTGAATAGCTCACAGGAGTTGTCAGTCAGAGCCTGTTGGACAATGTTGGTCAGTGTTGTGATGGATTTCTGCATCTCGGTGAAGGCTGTGGTCAGGCCAACTAAACCAGAAACTGTGGTTTGAAGGGCTGTCAGTTGATCCTCAACATTGATATGTCGTTGGTCGAAGCCTTCAAGGAGACTCTTCATATTTTCTGTTGCAGCAGAATCTGGTCCTGTTCCCATTGTTGTTGATGCTAATACCAAATTGTCAAGGACTTGTGTTTACGCCCTTGTCCAATGTCTCAAATGGGATCAAATGAGAAGAGAAGAGCCAACTGAGACCTTAGTATCAATGTTGTTATACTCAGATTATCAAATGAGGCGGAGAAAAACTATGAAGAGTCTTAAGGAATTAATCGGTGCCCGACCTAGTCAAGACACATCAAATTAATTCTTCAAATGTACTTTATTAAACAATATTAGGTCCCTTATATTGAGAATACAAGAGTCCTAATAGGAAGCATAATGATAATACGAAGCATAAGGATAATAGGAAGTTTCCTAAATTGAATAAGAAAATAACTAGGATCTAATTAATTAAATGCTGCCAGTTGCCTTATCCTCGTGGTCAGCCACCTAGAGCATTCAGATCTTTTCGATTTGACCAACTAATTCCCTTGAACCTTCCCATCCACGCCTTCGTTGATATACTTGTCCATAGAATGGATCCATAACAAATGTTAGTGGCTTAGATCCCTATTTCAAACCACTAGATAACAAACCATACTTGTCCATACTATTCTCTTTTGCACTCCTCGATCTAATATATCTAGAGCCTTACTAGATCAGAAAATAATTGATCTCTGATTTTTTAACATGTCATTTGGATGGGTTTATGACATTCATTGACATTTAATTAGTTTGAAATTTAGTTGGTTTTGATAATAACATTTGTTGACTTTTAATAATATTTATTTTAATTCTTATTATATAACTTGTAGCTTTTTCTATAATTTTGGGTAAACGTTGAGGCTAATGCCTCATTTGCGTAATGAGGCTTACACAATAGGCCATGCTAAGAACCGCCTCAAATATGCAATATAAAATCTTATACATTGGCATGTGATTGTATATTTCATGCACCAAGCGCCTCTTAGTAGGCTAGCGGTATAAAAACTCATTTTGAAAGGGAAATCAGTGAGACGAACAAAGATGAACAACTCAAGATCAAAACCACCACAGACAATCATGAACATGAATTTTTCATTCCATAGGGATTCATGTGAAGGCTTACCTTAGCTAGCCAATCCAAGTCTGATCCAATTTTTTTACAATAAAAAATGCATAAGGATTTCGACATTGAAAAGTCAAAAAGGAGATTTTCTATAAGTTCAGGTCATTTTGGGTTAATTTGCATCTATGATTGCTTAAAGAAGTTTAAAGAACATAGAAACACTGACCTTAAAAATATCTTCTGCCAACCCATGGTTTCCTGCATTTTGGACCATAAATCTATTGACGGGAGACCCAACTCCACGGCTAAGTCAAGACACTGCTTTGCATACTCTCCTGTCACTAGATTCGTCCTTTCTGGGGATTTCATTGCTTTGTCACCATACACATACCTGCTTTGTAAATTTTATATGTATTTATTCACGAGGACATAATTAATGATGAATGCAATGTGCTCATTATCCTTATTTTTAATGCTGAAATGGTGCATAAAACTTAGAGCACAACTAAGGGGGTTGGCTAAAATTCAAGGTAAATAACATGGCTGAAATGAGGTTAATAGTTTTCTTCCGTTTAAGGCTGAAACGGTTATTGACAGCTGAGCGAGCACATTGACTAGCAATTTCATTCTTATAAAAAGCGTTAAGTGTCCACCAAGCAGCAGACTACAGTCTAACGTCTAATAGGAGATTAATCAAGGTTAGATATTATCCAAGTGAAACTAGCCAGGTCAAATGGGAAAAAACAAGGCATTTAGATATTTGGATGGAGAAGTTTAGAGGTGAAGACTTTGGAGGGCTTTTTGACGTTTTATTTAAGTTTATATATTAATATATAACTCATGAGTGTATATCATTATATATACTAAACCCTTCTTTAAAGACATCCAAAAAGCCCACCTCATGGATAGCTAATGCCAGGTGACGACTTTAAAAGCAATGCTTAAAATGGTATGTAGTCCGTACCGTGCATATGCTTTGCGGCCCACCTCATCAATTGGTGGCGGAGTTATAAGCACAACAACCATGGTAGGTGAGCACTTCTACAAGTGTTTGCCAAAAAGAGTGAGTAAAAACCAGAAACGCCAGAGAGAAGACAAAGCGCATAAAAAAGCAATAAGGTACATAGATATTGAAATAATTTCATTGAAAGAATAGGGGTTATAACCTTAAGATGTTGAACCATTGCTTTTAGATTTTCTTTATATTCCTTAAGAGGCACATGCTGCTTTTCGCTTGTCCTTCCTAAAAGTGCCGAGTCATTTGCCCCAAAGAAAATAGTGATAACAGCAGGATGGCTTATAGATTCCTCCTACAAGCCTAACAACCCCTTAGATCCCAAGAAAATACAAATACATTTCATAGCACATCAAAGTAGCTCAGTAGCCCAACATATGCTGCCGGATTAGCTCCAAATTATTCCGAAGAGCATTCGGCTAGCAGCAAAGGGGGCGCAGTGCCAGGTGAGGTCAGGCAGTGCTAAAAAAGAATTGTAAAATAGATTTTCTCAAATATTAAGCATGAACTTTTTGTTTCTATTATTTCAAGCATCGCAATGTACTTAGCATTAAAGAAACAAATCTCTCACCAAATTTCAACGGTCTGAATTCTCTATATATGTGTGTGTAAGAACATTCATATCAAGCTCACCTAACAGAAATACCGATGCACTTCTCTTTTGTCAAAAACAAATCAGATTTTTTCACCCATTGGCATCAAATACTAACTTTAACACTTGGATCATGTAAATATTGAATATTGCCGAAGTGAACTCTATCCTTGATGATAAATTAATCTTGAACAGTTGATCGTAAGAAAATTTTTGAAGAAGACATGATCAAATGGTTAAAATTAATAGTTCATGACAGAGAGAGAGAGAGAGAGAGAGAAAGTCTAGCCCATGAAATTATCTTTCGGCCAAAATGGAGTCTCTGTTATTTGAATAACACAATATATAATATATGTAGTGTTATTAAAATAATAACACAATATATACATATGTTATCAGAAGGTTGCTCGGAGGTCTGATTGATGGTGTTCCTTGCTGGCATATATATATATATATATATATATATATATATATATATATATATATATATATATATATATATATATATATATATATATATATATATATATATATATATGCAGCAGTCTGGAGTCGTGTAGTGTGAATATCGTGTGGAATGGTGGGAGAAGAAGATGAGAATTTTTGTTGAGAATTCTCCAGCTCCCTGGTTCTAACTATTGACAAACTTTTTCTGATTTTTTCTATTGAAAATAAACCTTCTCTTAAATAGAGGAAAGTTGGTTACAGATTATAACTTCCATAAACTTTAACTGCCAACTAAATGCCTAGTGCCCTGCTAGTTGCCTTAGTAACTATGCACTACCACATTAACCAACACCAATTACTGCAGACATAAATAATAATAATAATAATAATTATTATTATTATTATTATTATTATTATTATTATTATAATAATAATAATTATTATTATTATTATTATTATAATAATAATAATAACAGTAATAATAATACCACTAAAAATAATAATATAATAATAGTGTGCCTCCAGTTTGCTCCGCGTATGAACTTTCAGCCTTTTACCTACTGGAATGTATCAATACACTCCTACCAGAAAGTCAAGCTTGCCCTCAAGCTTGAAGGCAGGATATAAACACATCATGAATCCGACTCCACATCTTGAATATCACCTGGGGTGCACAGCTTTGTAGTTTAGCAAAACATAGTTGTGTAGGGGAAGTGAAAAGTCTTTGGCGAAAGCATACTGCCTGAACAGGTGAAGTAAGCGCGCGCACAGGAGTTGGGATCTTGCCAATGGAGAAAATTTTCTTCATTTGGGCACCATGCTTAGAATAATGTTTTTGAACATTCTCTCCTATCCATGTTACTGAATTACCATTTCAAGTGAAGCTCATTGTGAGGGAAGAGAAATCCCATAACGCAACCCCAAGTATTTGTAGCCACTTCATTCCAAGTACCAATTCGAGGCCATTTAGTGGAAGCACATAGAAGGAAACAGAGAAGAGTTGTCCCTTTTTGCAGACCAGCACATCTTCACACACCCCATTCCTTCCACTTTTTCACCATTAGCCACAATCGCCCAAAGCCTTGGGCAATATTGAATGCTTAAGCCCAAGCGGTTTGCTGTATTCACATCAATGAAATTATGTGTACTACGTGTTTCGATGAGGGCCTTTATGGAACATTTTTTTATGATCACAACATGCATGGATTGGGCATGGTTAACTCCTATGATGGCGTGAAGAGAGATTTCTGGTTCAGGCAGTTTGCTCCCTTCTGCGGCGTCATCATCCTCGGACACTTCAAGTTCAAGATAGAAAAGTTGTTTGCACCTATGTTCGGGCGTATATGTTTCATCACAGTTATAACACAAGCCCCTTGACCTGCGCTGGGCCATCTCATTGCGCGAGAGTTTTCGTATATAGGGGCCAAATGAATTGCTAGTGAGTTCTGAAGGTTGCTGGTGAGATTTTGGATACCGAAACTTAGGTCTTTCTAGAGTGGTTGAGAATGGTAGTTGACTTTTAGTAAGGACTGTCAGCATAAGGGATTGGTCATACGAGCGCGGAATTAAGCGGACTTTGGCGTCGTACGAACGAGTCAGATTCATGGCCACTTCAAGACTATTTGAATACTGTGACTCCACCTCCATGCGACGACGACGACGACGATGATAATAATAATAATAATAATAATAATAATAATAATAATAATAATAATAATAATAATAATAATAATAATAATAATAATAATAATAATAATAATAATAATAATAATAATAATAATAATAATAATAATAATAATAATAATAATAATAATAATAATAATAATAATAATAATAATAATAATAATAATAATAATAATAATAATAATAATAATAATAATAATAATAATAATAATAATAATAATAATAATAATAACAATAATAATAATAACAATAATAATAATAATAATAACAGTAATAATAATACTACTAGTAATAATAATATACTAATAGTGTACCTCCACTTTGCTCCGCGTATGAATTTTCAGCCTTTTACCTACCGGAATGCATCAACATATATATACACACACACATATATACTCCCTCCTCCGTATTTTAAAGATTGCTACAATAGGCTTTGACACATTATTTAAGGAAGAAAGTAGTAGGGGTGATAAATAGTGTAGAAAAAGTAGGATAGAGGGTGTAAAAGTATGAGTGGAGGAGATAAAGAGTAGAAAACGTAAGGGTAATTGAGTATTTATGAAAGTAAAATTTACCAAAATGGGAAAGTGTAGCAAGCTTTTCGATACATCCAAAAAAGAAAGTGTAGCAAACTTTCAAATACGAAGGGAGTATACATATATATATGAATGCGTAAATATATCAATATACATGGGTGTGTGTATATATGTGTGTGTATAGTAGTATATATTATGTAGAGTTTGGTTCAAATAAAAGTGATTCAAAGGTGAAAAATAAGAAATAATTTTGGCTTTTGATTTGATAAAGTGAATAAATCGGAGCAATTTTTAAGCCAAAAAGTGGTGGCATTGTGTTAAATATGAAAAACTTTAATGAACACAGTAGAAATAAAGTGCATCTATGCATTCAAAAAGTGCATATTTTCATTCAAAATGTGCATCTAAGTGGTGGCATTGTGTTAAATATGAAAAACTTTTAATGAACACACTAGAAACAAAGTGCATTTTTGCATTCAAAAAGTGCATCTTTTCATTCAAAATGTGCATCTTTGCATCAATAGATGTACAAAAATGTGCAGGAATATCAGGCCGTTTTTGTATAGACACAAAATGAACTCATATTATAAAACAATGCACTTTAAATGCTAATCATTTCACATTTGAGATTTATTTGTTTACAATTATGCCACCATGTTTTCTTATTGAATAATGATTGATCCATTTGTTTTTGAGATAAATGCTTGGATTTATTCTTATTTTTCATGGGAAGACCCATTTTCATTTGAAGTGTGTGTGTGTGTATGAGTGTTTTCATACCAACTTTTTAAATTTGAGTGTTTTCCCATCAAGTTAACTTTTTAACTTCATTTTTGGCCAAAAATGAATTTAGTGATCAAATTATTTGTACTCATTAGTACCAACTATTAGTTTCAATTGTTAGATTTTAAATTAATTGAAGTTAGACCTTACAAACTCACTTTTGACATCATATACTTATCTAATGGTTGATAGTACTCTTTGAACTGAGCTCATTTGCCCAAAAATTAAGCTGGGCTGATGGTACTTTTTAGGCCGGCCCGGTGAGAAAAATCTTTTAGGGAAAACTATCAAATAAGCCCTCGTAGTATGCTGAAAAAGTCGATTAGGCCCTCGTACTTTATAAACACTCAATTAAGTCCTCAAACTATTAAAAAACATTCAATTAAGCCCTTTTGGTCGGTAAGTAACCGGTTTCCCGGTTAAACGGTGACGCGGCGACGATGTGCTCGAACCCCCGCAACGGCGTCTGCCGGGAAACGGGTTACATTTAACCGGGCAATCGGTTACTTACCGACTGAAAGGGCTTAATTGAACGTATTTTAATAGTTCGAGGGCTTAATTGAGTGTTTGTAAAGTACGAGGGTCTAATCGGCTTTTTGGGTATAGTACGGGGGCTTATTTGATAGTTTTCCCAATGTTTTATGTAAATAATGTAGGTATACATATAAAGAAGAAGAAAAGTGACAATGCAATGAAAAGAAGCCAAATTTGAGATGATCCAAATGCTGAAAAAGTCTTCAGCAACCTAATTTATCAAATATACAGTACAGAGGTTTCACAAATGTATCAAACATTTAAGAAAAACAGAATTTTCGAGAAAAATTATTAAAGTGGGAGAGGCTGATGAGTATAATAATTACCAGAGGGAAGAGGTGATGCAGCAAGAACAAAGCCCATCTAGTGTTATATCCACCATATCCGCGATTCAGGATATCAGCCTATAGATTCAAGAATAAACACTAGTTAGTTCTAGAAAACCAATATTGTAAAGAAACTATAAAATGTATGGAAATAACATATGCTATGAGGATAGTCGCTTTTTAAACTTCATCCGATTATACATTTTCTATTGGTATTGTTTTTGGGTAGACCTATAGTGTTAACCTAAGAGAATTGACACTAAAGAAAGAACTTTTTCGGTCGAAAATAAATTCATCAGGATGAAAGAAGAGAAATAGGAAAAGAGAAAAGACCTTGCGAGAATAATGGTCAGCGAGGGAAGAACCCCATCCACCTGATCTGAAGGATTGCTGAGTGATGGAGTCCCCGAAGAGCACTATCTTAGGCCTCATTTGTTGTTGCTTCTCGAGATCTAACGAACTCCAGACTCGGTATACGGGACGGGGTCTATGTCAGCCAAGATCTAACGAACTCCAGACTCGGTCGGTATCTCCCCTTATACACATACGAATGATACGATGATACCAAGTACGGAGGAGTATCTCCGGAAATTCCCCATTTGCTCAAGAAAAATACGTAGCATGGATATAAAAATTATTGGGCCAGGTAGGGATCGGGCTCTTTTACATCTACTGGGCCGCTCCTAACCGTCATTAGACATAATCGAAATGAAAATATTAATGTGAATTCATTCACATATAATTTAGCAATTAAATTAATTTGGATTACTTAAATGTCCAATTAATTTAATTATAAATTAAGTCTTTCAAAGAATGGACTAGTCCTATTAATTTCTTTATTTTTGAGCTCATTATCAAGAGTGGCTCAATATATAAGAGGTATGATAAAATTGATAAAGCGAGCAACGAATCTAGTTAAGAGACTCTTCCATATGCAAGGAAAATAGTTATGAACCTTGTTAAGGAAGCAGTCCAGATACAATGTATAGGTGCTGATTTTTCTAGCTATTAAAATGCAGGCAAAAAGAGCTCAAAGCCCAATTTAATTGAGCCTTGAGCGGTATGCACGAATCTGTGCAACCCTAATGCATATCCCATCCTCTCCACACCTATAAATAGGTGTCTTAGTTGAGAGGAAAGGATAAGAGAACTTCCAGTCGAAGAAATGCTACAGAAAAGCTCTGAACGATTCCGAAGAAGAGGGAAAAACCAAACAACGAATTTTATTAAGAATATAAGAATGATCCTTCGTGATTTCTTCAATTCTTGATAAAATAAGTCCAAAATTTGAAGAATGTTCGATGATCTGAAGAACGAAGCTTGAAGATTCGAAGATCTGAAAAACAAGACTTTGAAGATTCAAAGATATGAAGAACGAATATTTGAAGATTTGAAGATATTCCTATGAAGATTGAATCGAAATTCAATTGAAGATCAAGCCATATATCCCGAGAAGTTCTTTAACAGAAGATCAAGCCACAAAACGGCCCTTTTGTTGAATATCAAGCTACTTGAAAACCGGAGGCCCTTCAAGCTGAATTCTTCATTCAAGAAGATTTGAAGATCCGAAGAACGAAGATTCGAAGATCTCAAGAACGAAGAATCGAAGATCTGAAGAACGTTCGAATTTTTGAAGAATTAGAGATTTAACTTTTAAACTAAATTCTTTAATTATATTTATTTCAAATTGCAAGTGAACAATCAGAGGATTCATATTTAGAGATTGTACCCAATAATCTCATATATTATTATTTGCGACCAATTTTAAGTAAATACTTAAAATTTGTTTCACAAATTTTTGGCACGGCTGGTGGGACTACTCTACCTCCCATCTCTTCACTTTTGATCAAGGAAAATGAACCCATGGCATCAAGCAAGTCCGTGTTCACCCTGAATTCTAGAGCATCATCAAGCTCGAGCCAAGACATGCAAGGCCCTATCACTAGGAGCCGATCAAGAATCCTAGCAGCGCAATCATCTTCAGGAACTACTCCCGGTGCGATGGATCGATTTCGAATTGCGCAAGAGATGGCCCAGAATCTTTTTTCACCCATACTTGAAGTTACTTCCCCGAAGTGGACAAGCAGTGGTGAAAGCTCATCATACGGATCAGACTCTACTCCCTCATCAAGTCCTCCACGAAGAACTACTCCACAATGGTCAAATGTCTACACTGTGATGTCCAATATGACGACGAGCACCACATCTATGGAAGAACAAATCATCCATCTAATTAAGGTCATCGAGGGGATGAGTATATTCATGCAAGCTCAAGATCAGAAGTTGAATGATCTGAACAACAAAGTAGAAAGCTTGAAAGGCGAATCAAGTCATACTCATGAGAAGGATCCTGAAGTGCATGAAGATAATGATTCTCACCAAGAGGATTCGGGAAAGAACATCTCAACCTCTGGGGGCATGATCCCAGTTGATCAACTCAAAGACTTCATCATGAGAAACATAAAGGGAAAGATAGAAGGAAGTCAATCTACTTACTCTTATGTTAAGCCATACACTTAAATGACCGAGGATCTGAAAAGCCCACTGGTTACCAGCCGTCGAAGTTCATCCAGTTTGATGGGAAGGGAAATCCAAGACAACATGGTTCCCAGTTCGTGGAGACTTGAAATAATGCGGGAACAAACGGAGATCACCTTGTCAAACAGTTCGTGCGTTCTTTGAAAGCAAATGCATTTGACTGGTATACTGACTTGGAGCCCGGTTCATTAACAGCTGGCAAGATATGGAACGTGAGTTCCTAAATCGTATCTACAACACAAGGAGGGTGGTGAGCTTGCTTGAGTTGACAACTACTCACCAATGGAAAGATGAGCCCGTGATAACCTACATTGAGCATTGGAGAGATCTTGCCCTCAACTGCAAAGATCAGATCTCTACAAACTCCGCAATTGATATGTGCATTGAAGGCATGCATTGGGAGTTATGTTATATTATGAAAGGAGTGAATCCAACTACTTTCGATGAATTAGCAAGCAAAGATCGTAACATGGAGTTGAGCATTGCAAGCAGTGGAAGACAAACAATGGGCATATATCACATGAACAATGCCGCTGAAAAGCAAGATACCAAGAAAGGAGGCAAACCTTTCTCTAAATTTGAAAAGAAAGAAGAAATGGTTGTGAAAGCTTCATCAGTCAAAGTCTTCACTCAAAGTCTCAAACTACGGAGAATGCAAAGCAAGTTGCTAGAGTTGAACCTGAAGCCTCTGGGCGTGTCAAACCAACTTTGCGAGAGATGATGAAGAAGCAATATCCTTTCTTGAATTATGATGTTTCTCCAATGTTTGATGAACTGGCGAGGTTTAAACTTGTTGATTTACCTCAGTTAAAACGACCTGAGGAAGCCACAAAGGTCAATGATCCTAACTACTGCAAATATCATAGAGTGCTGAGTCACCCGATAAAGAAGTGTTGGGTGTTCAAAGACAAGATTATGGCTTTAGCCCGTGAAGGAAAGATTGAACTTGCTCATTCTGCAGCAAGCACGAACCAAATTACCATTACATTTAGTAGGTTTGCTCCGCTCATGGTCAAAGACAGCCCAAATTCTCACAAGCATAAGCTCTCTTTTACTGTCAAGGGGATGAAAGGATGTCCTCCTCTCACTAAAAGAATGGCACTTGAGGATGTTGGTGACAAAGGAAGACTATGGATCTTGGTAACTCAAAAGAAACAAAGGAAGAATCACAAACATATGTCACAACCAAAGAAGGTGGTAAAGAAATGGGTCATGCAACAACCGATAAACGAGTTGAAGAAAAGGAAACAAAGAAAGGATCATATTTGATCTAAGGTTGCGCGAAGGCCGATTACTCTCAATGATTATATGCCAAAGGATTTCAAGAACAAGATGACTCAAATTTCGAGGTCTTGCCTTAGCACCCATGAGAAAGAAGTTCAGAGTTCAAGTAGATGTTCATCTCCGATTTCAACTAAGAAAGAAGTGGATGAAGCACAACAATCTACTGCATACGCCACTGACATTATCTTTAAAGACGAAGATCTTATGTTTTGTCATTCCCATAACCGTCCACTTTTTGTTGAAGGATACACCTATGGATGAAATTTTGGAAGAATTATGATATATCAAGGGTCTGGCGTTAACATTTTGATGGTTCAAGCTATAAAAGACCTTGATATATCGATGGATGAACTCTCTCAAAGCCACTTAATGATTCAAGGTTTCAATCAAGGGAACAAAGGGTGATTCGAATGATACGTCTTGATTTGGTCATTGGTGGGTTGAAGGCAAGCATTCTATGTCATGTCATTGATGCAAAGGCTTCATATAATCTCCTTCTAGGCCGGAAATGGATCCATGAGAACGATGTAATTCTTTCAATGTGGCACCAATGCTTCATGTATGAGGAAAATGGTGTTGTAAAGAAGGTAGTGGGCGATGAAACTTCATTCACAGAAGCCGAGACATACTTTGCAGATGCAAAGTTTTACCTCAAGGCCAAAGTTTCTAAAGGTGACGATACTAGACAAGAGGAAAAATATCGCCTCATGATTCAACCAAAGCTGAAAGGGAAACTTGTTGAAGGCATGGAAGGGCTTACATTCCCTCTTGCAAAGATCGAGATATCAAGGCCTCCTCAAAACACATCTGAGGAAGAAGTAAAGTGCAAGAACGATGTTAAGGCATTTCAGCTCCCTAAGGCACGCACTCATGGAGGATTTGACCCAAATGCATACAAACTTCTGGCCAAGGCTAAGTATAATCCTAACGAACAGAAGTTGGGAAAACTCATTCCAGAAGCTGGTGAAGAAAGGACATCAAAGCAGATCAATCTTCGAGGACACACAGGATTGGGTTACGTTCAGCCGAAACCCATAAGGATCCTCATAAATAGAGCCGCAACACATCCTATAAGTGCTGACGAGGAAGACGGAGTAACTTTTAAGCCGAAGTACTCCGTCTTTGATAGGATGGGGGGGAGATCAAGACCCGCCATCTTTGACAGAATGGGGCCGAAGCCAAAGAAGATTATGAAGAAGACTTTACAAGAAAGGCTTGGAATGATCCATCTTTGACAGAATGGGACCCACCATCATGGTGAAGCGCGTTGAAGACCCATGTAGTGGGCAAAATTTCGAGAGAAATCCAGTACACGAAAGATTGGGTAAAATTCGCTCATGCAAAACGTCTTTCAACAAATATGCAAAGACACAAGCTCTGAATGAATATAGAAGCTTGATTCCATCCTGAATGAGGCGAGAAACCGATGTGAAAGTCTCATGTGGAAAAAATCTCAAAGTATAACTGAAAACCATTGTTCATACTCAAGTGCCTGCAGATAATAAGTTGAAATTTGTTGAGTTGGCTAATGACGAGGAATACATTGTCTCATCTTATCATAGTACTTTTGGTGATGAAATTCTGGCCGAAGGTGAAGATGCTGATATAGCTCCTCCAGAATTTGAAGAGGGAGTGTGAACAGCCTTGCATGAATTAAAGGAGGTCAATCTTGAAACCAAAGAGGACCCTCGCCCCATTTATATCAGTGCTCTTCTATCATATGAAGAAGAAGCAAAATATGTGGCCTTACCTCGAGAATACAAGGA